GTTTTTTCCAAAGCTTCATTTATAAAATTTTAATTGATTAAATTTTGGATTTCTTCAAATGGAAAATCTCCTTTTTTTATAAAAAAATTAATTTTCTTATTAATTTTAAATTTGCGAAAATAAAGAATCTTCTTCATTTTAAAAAAATACAGAATTTATATCGAATTCTTCATTTTATTAATATATTTTTTAAAAATCAATCTTTTCTGTATAATAATTATGATTTGAAGAATCATTAGATTCTTCTTTAATTAACCCTTATGGAAAATCTGGAAGATTTATTGAATTATTATTACTATTTTAAATTATATTATTTTTATTTTGTTTTTATAACATTTTTCAAGTAATTATATATTACAAATAAATTATTTTATATATACATAGTTATTTTTATTATTATTTATTTAAATAAATCAACACATAATTCTACTATATTAACCAAATTAATACATTTAAATACTTTCTTTTTTATAAAAATCTTTCAAAATATATATATTAATATAATATATTCATATAATTTGATGTTTTTACTTCAAAAGCAAAATATGTTTATTTCAAAAATACCGTTTTTATCTCCTTTACTTATGAAATAAATATACTTAAATCCTTAAAATCTAGCTAAAAAAGCATTCATTTTGGTCATTAATCAGCTTTTCTATAATTTTAATAACAAAATTAGTTAATAAAGTTGCTATATAGCATATTATTTTACTATTTTTAATCCGAAAAAACTGAAATCGACACAAATATATTTATTTATTTTTTTCTCCAAAATTCTTTACCAGATAAAATTTAACATTAAAAATTAATAATAACCTTCAAAATATAGAAATTTTATTAATTCTCCAGTATATTCAAAAATATAATCAAAGTTATAATTTTTTCAATTTTTTTATACAAAATCAAAAACAGCTATTTAACTTAAACTATGATATGCAAATTTAATTATTTTTATTAAAGAATAATAATAGTTCAAAACATTTAAAGATAATTGAGCATATAAAACTAATTTTAGAAAATTTAATTAATAAAAAATTTTAAAGTAAAAATCATCAGGACAAAAAGAAACCTTATAGCTTTTAAAATATATAATATATAAATTTTATCTTCAATAAATATTATCGAAAGAATAAATAAATAAATATATTAAATTGAATATATAGATAGATTCTATATATAAGAATGATAAATAAAATATAATTTTATAAATTTATGTTTTTTATCAGTTTAAAGATATTTATTATTTTAATTTCTAAATAAAAAAAGGATTTTTAATATTTTTCCTAATCATTAAGAAATTGATAAAATTAATTTATAAAAATAAAATAAAAAACAAAAATAAAAATAAATATAAAAATAAAAATAAAATATAAATTAAAAGAAAAGATAAAGAAAAAAAAAAAAATATATAAATATAAATATATAAAATATATATATAATTATATATATTTTAATTTTTAATTTTCAACTCTCAAAAATTTTTACAAATATTTATTCCATAAATAAATTGTTATGTTAAATATAAAACCTCATAATTAAAATATATTAAATTTTTTAATTTAATTTATATATTTTTTTAAATTTAAATTATTTTTATTTCATTTATGTTTTTATTACCTATTAATTTTTTTTAAAAAATATTTCATAATATAGTTAAAATTTGTTTTAATATATTTAAATAAAAATATATATTTATATTTTTTATATATTTATTATTATTAATAGATTTATATTAATATTAGATATATTAATTTTTATAAGTAAATAAATAAATAAATATCTATAATTTTATATATATATATTTATATATATAAATTTATTTCTATATATTTGTTTTTCATAAAGATTCGTTTTGCTTTTTTCCTGATAAAATATTTTATTTTTCAGTTTCAATACAATTTTATAATATACTCAATAATTAATTGCATTTTTAAGGTTCAGTTCCTTATCTTATACAATTTTCAACAGCACAACCATATTTTTTGCATCTTTATTCAGCTTCATGATATAATTTTACGGGATTCATATTATAATATATTAAATAAAACAAATTAATTTTTAATAAATAATATATATAATAAATTATATAAAAAAAAAATTATATATATTTTTATCATTGAATTCTATAGTATATAAATTTTATTTATTTCTTTATATTTTATATTTTAATATATTATTTTGATTTTAATACATATTAAAAAATAAAAATATAATTTTTATATTTAAAAATTAATAATTTTTCTTTTATTTATTTTATAAAATAAACATTTATAAATTATTTGTTAAATAATAAAAATTAATAATATTGTAAATTCTACTTTTATGAAAGTCTTGAGAGAATTTAGATTAATAATTATATAAGAATATTTATATAAAATAATTATCTAATTATAATAATTAGATTATAATAATAATAAAATATATATATAAATATAACATATACTATATTTAAAAAAATAAACTAATAAAAATTTAATAATAAATAAAAAAATTTAATTTTTTAATTTATTCAATGTTTTAAAACAAATTGAAAAAATTCATTAAATTTTAAAAATAACAAGATATAATATAATATATATATATATATAAATTATTTTACATCTATTTTTTATTATTAATATTATATATATCTTTTAAATTTAATATATACATATATATATATTTATATTATTTTATTTAATATTAAAAAGAAAAAAATGTCATCAGTATGGAATTTGTTAAACCCTGTCCGTAACGGTGGTTAAACCTTAAAATTATTAGATTCTGGTCGTGAATTTTTCGGAACAGTAATTAAACATGGAATAAATGATAAAACTGTCACAGTAATCTTTATAATAATTTAATTATATATTAAAAATTATATAATATATTATATTTTCTTTTTTTAATTTTTTATAATTTTTGTTCAAAATCTTAAGATTTATTATCTATTATTATCTTTCATTTTTTGTGTTTTTTTAATACGTTTCTACAAATGTATCTAAAATATTTTATAAAAATAATTTTAAATAATAACATTATACATTTATAATTTTTAATAATTAGAATTGATATATAATTTTTTTTATATAGGTAAGAGTAGACCATAAATTTTGGGTACCTAAATACAAAGAATATTAATCTTCTTAAAAAAAATATTAAGTCCATGATGAGGAGAACTTTTGTGTAATCGGCGATAAAGTTGTAATTCGTTCATGTATGCCTTTATCCCCTACAAAGCATTATTTTGTGCGAAATATTGTAAAACCATTTTCTAGAGACGAATTTAAACCTTAAAAGGATTAAAAGAAAGAATTAGATGAAAATGTGAAATAGGAATATGAAAAAGTATATAAGGAATTATTGGAAGGGGAAAGAATTAGACTTTCAACTAAAAAAAGAAAGGAAGAATTAATTATTAAAGCTTAATTAAAAGCTAGAGCATTATAAAAAGCAATTGTAAATTTAAAAAATGCAGAATTAGATAGATAAAAAAGGAGAGAAAATTATTAAAAAATTACAATTAAAAGACTAAACTAATGTTTTACCAAACTAATAATAAGAAAAAAAGAAAAATGAAAAGTATTTTTATTATAATTTGCTATTTTATTATTATATTTAATTAATATGCATTATATTTATTCTATTTATAATAAAATTAATTTTTAAACTAAACATTTTTTTTTTAATAAATAAATAAATATAAAAAATTCTAATTTTGATTAATTATATAATTTTTACAAAAATAAAAAGTTTATAAATACAAAAAATCATAATATATATATATATATATATATAATTATTAAAAATAGTCTAGGTTTTCATTTTTTTATTTGGAAATTTTAGAAATTTCAAAAGTGTTTTTCTTTCTTTAATTAATTTTCAATCAAACGAAAACTCAGATATAGAAAATATCTATTATATATTTGCTTTCTTTATATTTAATGTTGGGGATTAATAATTAAAATCATCTAAAAACGAGTGTTTTTTAGTTATTATAGGCGATTAAAAAGTCTTTTCACCTAGAAAAGAATATTTGAATAACTTAGTTTTATATATTTTTTTATGTTTAGATAATTTTTAGGTTTTTTTTATGAGGATTATTATATTTTTTTACCACTTTCGGTAGAATAGTTTTTTAAATTATTTGCTATAGGCATTTTTTTTTTTTGCAAGTGTTTTTTTATTACTAGAATATATTTTTAATAAATTTTTTTTTATTATTTTTTAATTTTTTAATTAGCTTTTAAATTATATTTCCCCGACTTTATATTGATTTATTAATTCTATGAATATATAGAGTATTATGTTAAATATAGAAAATTTAAAAAATTAAATAAAAATATATTCTTTTTATTATTTATTTTTTCTGTATTTATTTTTAAAAGTATACACAATCAAAAAAAAGAAAAGAAAAAAAAAAGAGAGTGAGTAAAAATCAATAAATAATAGTCATTTTTTTATATTGAATTTTTAAAATTAAAGAAAAAAGTAAAAAAATTTAAAAAGAGAAATAGCAATTTTAAAAAATAAATTTTTTAAATTTTATTTAAAAAAAAGTAAAGATTCAGTAATAAAAAAAGCTACTTTTTAACTTATTTTTTATACTGATTTCATTTACTTTTTTTAATAAATTTAAATAATTATTTAAATATTATTATAAAAGGAGATTTTTATTATTTATTTAAATTTTTACAAACATATTTAATTTTTTTTTAGAAATAGAAAATAAATTCAAACTAAATTCTTTTTTTTTTTTTTTTTTTAAAAAAAAATAAATAACAATTTGATTATATATAAAAATAAAAACAAATAAATAAAAAATATATAAAAAAAACCTTATTTTTATATTTATTCTATTTATATATATTTTTTTATATTGTCTTTTTATTTTCTAAATGTATTATATATATCATGAATAATAATAATTAATTATATTTCTATTTTCATAATAATTTAAAATGATTTAAAGTATTAAAAAAAATAAAAAAACTTTAAATGAAATTATTAACAAAAAAGAAATATTTAAAAAAATAATTAAATAATTTAAAATAAATATATAATATAAACTTTATGTTTAATTTACTCTATAATTTACAAACATATGGTTTTAATTTTTAGTAGAACCGATATATAGTTTTTGACTAATATAAATAAATATATTATGTCAATTTTTTATTAAATAATACTAATTTTTAAAATATATTCTAGCTTAGATATTATATATAATTTAAAAAATTATATTTAATTTTAAATTAAATTTAATTATAAATTAAATTTAATTTATAATTTGTATATTACAATTTTTAAAATAATTAAAAAAACTAAAAATTTTTTATTTATAATTACTCATTATATAAACATAAATTAACTAAAATTATTAATTTAAATAAAAATATCAATAAATTTTTTTATATTTTTTATGCATATTTTATTAATAATAAACAAAATTTATTTAATTTATATACTTATATATAATTTTTTAAAGTACAAAAAATATTTTTATTTAAATTTATTATTATATATATATATATATATATATATATATATATATATAATATTCATATTGATTCTATAAAATTGTATCTTTTATTATTATAAATTATATAATTTATAAAAATAAAGGATTTAATAAAAATAATTTATTATAATATTTAATTTTTTTTTTTTTTTCTTTATAATTTTAATAATATATTTATACCTTTCTTTTCCATTCTCAATATAATATAATTATTTATTTTTTAAAGCTAATTTTGCTTCTTTATTTTATAACTACTTCTATTTCTTTTAAATAAATTATTCTTTTTAATTCAAAATACTATTTAATTATTAAATTTTAATCTAATTATTATAAATAAGTTTCCTATTCTCATTTTTTTGATAAACAAGACTATCTTTTAAATCTTAAACAGTATTAATAATTAACTATTTCTCTTTTCTAAAAGCTTCTTATATTTAATTTTCTAATTCCTTTTATTTTTATTCACAATTAAACTTTACTTTTTCCATTTCTTTTTCATTTTTTTTAATTAAATATTAAATTTTGTGCTCTAAAATTATTATAGAAATCAATCTTTCTTCCAAAGACTCTAATTAATTATTTTTTCGTTTTATGTCTTCCTTTAAAATTTCTATATCTTATTCTTTTTTTTTAATTCCCCTATTGCATTTGAAAATTCATGTTTTATATCCTTTTTATTACAATATATAAATTAATAAGTGATTTTTTTTTTAAAAAAAAATACTTCCATTTCAGTTTATGCATGTTATTAGAATATTTTAGCTTATTATTCACTACTTTTTAATTTTTCAGAATAAATTTATATTTATAGTCTAAATTATTGATTTTCCTTTTTTATTTTATAATTTATACATATATTAATATTATTTTTTAACTCTTTTCATTTATCTAAAATCTACCTCATATTTTTACAATATAAATAAATAATCTTTTTCTTATTTTTCTGTTTTATAATCAAACTTTAGATTATTAATTTATTCCTATTAGTCAATATAAAGTTTAGTTAAACAAGAAACTACTATCTCAATAATATTTAATAAATCTCCAACATCAGTTTATTCAGATTATATATCCCATTAATTTTATAAAAATTACTTTATTTCTTCCGAACTCTAATTTTATTATATAATTGCTTATATAATAAAAAAAATACTAATTGTTTCAAAGATAAATTAATTTTATTATAAATTTTTTTATTGTAGTGATAATATTATCAAGTTAATCTTCTAATTAAATATAATCTCGTAAATTAAATTTCTTCTCTTTTCTTGAAAATTATTATTAGGTGGAATTTTCAAACATGTTTTTAGTAAATTTTATTAGCATAGTCTATTAAGAATTAGAATTATTATTTTTTTAATTTGAAATTCGTCTAGAATTAGATATTTTAGATTTGTAAGGAAATTGTTAAGTATGAAATTTATTTTATTTTTTAATTAAACTTTTTTAATTCTCATTTTGTATTAATGTTAAAAGTGCAGATTTATTTTATTATATCATTTTTATTTATAAATATTTGATTTAATTTTTATTGATTTAATAATAAAATTAAAATATAATATGAAATAATAAAATAATAATTATATATGGACTAAAATATTCTTTTTTATATTTAAAAAAATATAATTAATAATATAAATAAATAAAAAATATAAAAAAAATTAAAATATATAAAATTAATTATATAAATATAAAATAAATCTTATATATAAAAATATATATTAAATTATAAAAATTATATTAAAAAAACAAAAATTAATAAAAAAAAATTATATAAATATAAATTTAGATATAAAATAAAATAAAAATATATGTATATATATATATATATTTATATTTATATTTATATTTATTTTTATATTTATTTTTATATTTATATTTTAATCATAATATTTTATGCATTTATTTATATAAACAACAGATTTCTAAATTTCCCAATTTAAAAACAAATCAAAGAATAAAGCTAAATTAATAATGGACACTAAGGAAATTCCTTCATTTTTTCCCTTTTTAACTTAATAACTTTTATAGTGTCTTTATCAAACTAAACATAGTAAATGATATAAAAAATACTTGCAATATTATCCATTATATATTCTGAATTTTCAACATTTTATATATAAAATTGATATTAATCATCCTCTATGTATATTATCTATACATTTTATTTTGTAAAAATCTTCTAAAAAAGCTCCAAACCCCTCTATTTGCTAATTTCACTAATAAAAATTTATATAATTCTAGTAAATTATTCTGTAAATAAATGTAAGGAAATATTAAAAATTCCTTCAATAAAATCCAGTTTATTTTGGTGAAAAACAATCATTTTTTTTAAATGATGTGAATTATTTGCTTATTTATAGTAATTATATGCATTTTTTAATGAAAAAAATGATTTTAGTTTATTATTTTATAATATGTGAATTATCCCTTTTATTAAATAAATTTCTGACAAAATTATTTCTTTGTATATTTTTAGATATATATTAGTCTCATTTTTATATCTTTTTTAAACTTTATCGATTATATTCTCACATTTTTATCGAGTTTTAACCAATAAACTTAAATCTAGGCTAAAAACGAAATAAAGAAGTCCTTTATAGACCAAAAGAATCTCAATATCAATATTTTTTTCGTCTTAATTAGCTATATTAGTTACTTAAAAATTTAATATATTAATAAATATATCATCTAAAGGTTATTATTGGTTATTATTTTGAGAAGATTACTTATAGTTTTTTATAGGAACTTAAGAAACATCAAATAAGGGTTATTAATATTAAGAATTTTCGAAATAATTTTAAAAAAAGACTTTTTTTTATTAATATTAAGAATTATTATTACATATTTTATTTAAATTGGATTATTTTCTAACATCAGAATTATATCGATTTCTTATATCTAAAATTGATTTTTTTCTCGTATTTTTTATTTAATTTTTTTCAGATGGAAAAAATCTCAATTTAAATATTTAATTTTATTTTCTTTTTCTTCACTTTTCAAAGCTTCTAAAATTTCCTTATTACACTCTGAATAATCTATTTGTGCTTTCTTTTTAATATTATTGATATATAAGTTTATTTTTTCATATATTTATTAAAGTCTGGGATTATTTTTATGTAATAAGTATATTTTTGGATATGTTTTTTATAATATTAATAATATTTTGTAATTTTAATCAATTAAATTTATATATTTTATGTCAGAAAATGTTAAAATACCTTTATGATGGGTAGAATCTGTATTTTAATAGTAATTTATTTGATTATTTACAATTTTATAATAACTTATTATTTTAATATTTAAATATTTGCTGTATTTTATAAGTTTTTATAGTTCTTCTTCAGGTTTTTTATTTTATTCATTATCCATTTTCTTTAAAAAAAAAAAATATTAAATTTAGAGTTTTCTTTTTTATTATTTTTTTTGTTGAATTTATTTTAGATTTTTTTTTTATATAAAATATATAAATAATTATTATAATATACTAACTTATTTATATTCGTTTTTACTTCTAAACTTATATATTTAAATAAAAAAATCAACAAACAAACAAACAAAAAAACAGAAAAAGGAAAAGTTTAAATATATATTTCTTTTTTTAAGAAAATAATTCTTTTTGATTAAAAAAATATAAAATTAAAAATATATATATAATTAAAATAATAAATATATACGAATTAAATTATAAAAATTTATATAAAAAATATCAATAATAAATGAAAACTACTTAAAATAATATAATAATAAATAAAAAAGGAAACAAATAAAATGAAAAAGAATAATCCAAAATCAAAATTTCAATTGATAATATGTATTAATATTTATCACAAACTCCCCAACAAAAAATAGAAGAACCTGAAACTAAATCAACCAGAAGTAACAAAAAGCTAAAAAAAAATAAAAACAAAAATACTAAAAAAAAATTAAAAGATGGATATTTAACAAAATACTTATTTTAAGATTTATAAATAAGTCAATAAACAAAAGATGCCTTAAAAAATCAAAAATTCACATATATGACTCCTATATAACATAAATCTATCCCTTTTTTACTAAAAGGTAGAGATATATTAGGAGCTGCAAAAACAGGTAGTGGAAAAACACTTGCATTTTTAATACCAGCAATCGAGAATTTAAAAAAAAATGACTTTACCCAATAAAAAGGTTCTGGAATAATAATAATAACACCCACAAGAGAATTAGCAACATAAATTTTTGATGTAGCGAAAGAAATAATATTTAATCATGATTTAACATTAGGATTGGTATATATATATATAAATATATATATATATATATATATATATATATATATATATATATATTTATGTTTATATTTATATATATATAAATTTATATTTTACTTATTTTAATATTTAATTAGTTAATAGGTGGTACAAATAGAAAAGCTGAGGCCACAAAATTAAGATTAGGAATTAATTTAATAATTTCAACTCCAGGGAGATTATTAGATCATTTATAAAATACTTCTAATTTTATATTCTCGAATTTAAAAACATTAATAATAGATGAAGCCGATGCTATAATGAAAATCGGTTTTGAAGAAGAACTAAACGAAATACTTAAAATTCTTCCAAAAGAAAATCGATAAACAGCTTTATTTTCAGCAACTATAACAAAACAAATCGAAAACCTTGCAAAATTATCATTAAAATAGCCTTTATATATAGGCCTAGACGAAAATAGTGAAATATCGACGGTAGAGGGACTAGAATAAGGATATATAATACTAGATACTGATAAAAAATTAAGATTTTTATATACTTTCTTATAAAAATATAAAAAAGATAACAAAATTATGGTATTTTTCAGTTCATGTGATTCCGTTAAATTCCATTCAGAATTTCTTAATTTCGTAGATATTCCGAATCTTTAAATTCACGGTAAACTAAAATAAAATAATAGACTTAATACATTTTATCAATTTATAAATGAGGAAAAATGTATACTATTATGTACTGATGTAGTTGCTAGAGGACTCGATTTCCCAAAAGTAAATTGGATAGTTTAATATGACCCACCAGAAGATACTAAAGAATATATTCATAGGGTAGGTAGGACATGTAGAGGAGCTAATAATTAAAATGGAAAAGGATTAATTTTTTTATAAAAAAATGAAACAGAGTATCTTTCTTTACTAGAAAATGCGAAGGTAAAAATGAAAGAATTAGTGTTTCCTGAAGAAAAAATAGCAGATATTTAAAAATAAATCTTTATGGTAGTATAGAAAAATAAACAGTTTTAAAAATTGGCTTATGATGGGTTTAAATCTTGTGTTTTTGTAAAAATATATATATATATATATATTTTTTTATACTAAATCTTGTTTTTATTATTATTATTTTTATTTATATTAAAAGGCATATTAGCATCATTCACTTAAAAATATATTTAATATAAGAAAATTAAATTTATAAAAATTAGCTTTTGGATATGGATTAGAAAACGCTCCTTAAATAGATTTGAGTATTTTTTATTTTTATTTTTATTTTATTTATTATATTATTTTTTATAAAGAAATAAAAAAAAGTAAAAAGAAAAAAAGAAATAAAGAACAACAGCCTGAATATTTATATTCAGAAGTAAATAAATTTAAATAATAATAATATATATTATATATACTTATATATATATATTTATATACATATAAATTTTAATATTATAAAATATATTTTTATGTATTATTATATTAATATTTTTTATTTAAAGGATGAAGATTAATAAATAAAATTATATAAAAAATGAAATCATTTTTAAATAATTGTAAAATTAATGTTAAATTTATAAAAAATTTCAAAAATTATAAAAAAAAAAAATTATAAATACATATTTAATTTTTTTTTTTTATATATAATTTATAAAATTCATGTAATTCAGATAACTTAACTTTAACTAGTTTAATTATAATTAAATATACTTGCAATATCTTCATGTGGTTTACATTTTACTCCTGCAGCTGGAATAATCTATAAAAATTAAGAAGGAACATTTCTATATTATTATTATTTTAGATAATAAAAAAATATATTAATTTACTTATATAATTTAGGATTGTAAATTTTCTACTTATAATCTTAAACTAACTAATCAGGCATATCTCTATTTATAAAAAAAAATATATATTATATTTATATTGATATATTTACAATTATTAAATAAATTGTGGTTAATTTTAATCATGTTGATGTTCTTAATTATCATTTTATCTAAAAGGTACTACTTCTGTAACTTTGAGAGCAATTCTATTTTTTAAAGTTTTTTCTATTACAAATCATTCATAAAAGATTTCTAAGGTGTTCCTTAAGTTTTATTATGACTATTATCTGATTTAGCTTAATTTTAAGGATTTTATGTTTATATAATATTTTAATGCAATTATTATTATTATTATTATTATTATTATTATTATTATTATTATTATTATTATTATTATTTTTTATGTTAATTATTATCTTATTATTATACATTTTCTTTTTAATGCATATTTTAATATTTCTTATTTTTTACAAAACTATCATCATCAAATTTAACACTTTATTATTTCATATTTTCATTACCTAATTAACTTTAGCTTTTAATAATACATTAAGAATGTTATTTTAATTATTTTAATTCATTTTTAATTTATTTTCTTTTCTCCTAATCAGTTTTCGCGGTATTAACTGGCGAGTTTTCATTTGATGCAAACCTTAAGCAATTAATTAAATCTGGTTTTTTAATTACTAAATTTTCCCTATCATTCTTTTTAGGTTCTAACGGGTTTCTATTTTTCAACTCATTTACTTATTTTTAGCTTAATCTAAAGTCTTCTTTTACATTTCTAGGTGGTTAAGGTTCCGTATCTGCTTATCTTTCCCCATAATTAAGTGCATTATTATAACTTTACATTAGTTTTGGTGTAATAGTCCCCTTATGTGGGTTTACATTATGTGACAAAAGATATTATCCATAAACGCATCCTCCAACAGAAGGTTTTACATTTCCCATTCCATAATTTTCAAAGGCAGGTTTTCCAAAATAAGTAGTAAAGGAAGTATTAGGTAACCACCTAGTAGTATCTTCCATTTATTTGACTCTTTGTTTTCTTCTCTCAAGTCTTTCTTTTTAACTTTTAGAATCCAGTTATTTAGCTTAAGGTTTATATTTAATTAATTTAGATTTAACATTTTTAGTCTTAGGTTATTTAAGTTTAATTTTTTGATTATTTTTTTATTCTTAATTAAACTCGCTTTCTTACTATTCGAGCCATTATTGTTGATTTTCGGCCTCTTTTTTTTAATTTTCTTCATTTTGTTTTTTTACTAATTCCTCTTCTTCATCTTTTACATATAAGTAATTATTTACAATCTCCCTCTTTTTTCCATAAGCCTTTTCTAATAATTATTTAGATTTAGATATTTGATTTGTGTGATTCTACTCTACTGCATTAAATAAATCACTTATGTTTTAAATATTCTTAATACCATAATCTTATTAGTATTTTGATTATAAATTAACATTACCTACTCCTTATTCTTCCATGTAATTCTAATGATATTAAATAGCTTAGTTTTATAAAATTGTAGATTTTTAAGGACTCTACGGTTTTAATTTAGATATAACATCATTTTCAACTTCTATTTTAAATATAAGTAAATGTAAATTTAATTATTTTAATATTTAAAAATATGTACCTGGAATATAAACTTTTTAATCTTTATCAAATTTATATAGCCTATAGTTGTCTCTTTATTCAGTTTAGAATTGATTAGAACTCTTATTAATTAAGTATTTGTATTTTTCTATCTCATTACTTTATTTTATATGTTGAGATTTAAAATCTTTTGCTTATTAAAAATCTTCAGACCATTTTAACATTTCAAACATTGATGGCTCTTTATCTCTAGATTAATATTTTTTACCATATACCTTTTTTTCTTCTAAACATTTATTTATTTTTAAATTAAAAAATTAATATGTAATAAAAATAAATATTACCATTTATCATCTCATTATATAAATGAGAATCTAGTTAGCATTTTTAAGTATCTTATTAGATAATATTATTATTATTATTATTATTATTATTATTATTATTATTATTATTATTATTATTATTATAATTATTGAAGACTTTATTATTTTTACAAATGTACATTTTATTGTTTTTTTTATTATTATTACTATTGTTATTATTTTTACATTTTTTTATGTTTTATTCTTTAAAAAATTTTTATTTAAATTTTTTTATTTTATTTAATTATTTAAAAATAAAAATATTTATTTAAATTAAATTAATATATAAGTTATATTTTTAAAAATAAAAATACTTTCTAATCAATTAATTTTTTATACTTTTTTAATCCATTTTTTAAAAATTAAAAATATAAATATTTAAAATTTATCTTTTATTCTTATTTTTTTTTTTTAGATTTTATTAAAATAAAAAATATAATAATATATTATATTAATAAAATCTTCTATATTCATTTAAATATAAACTTTGTTTCAAAATATATTATAGTTATAATATAATGTTATCTTTATCTATATACCAAATCATTTAAAAATTTAATTATCGAAAAAAAATTATAGGTTATTTAAAATAAAATGGATTGTATAATTTACTATTTTTTTAAATAAAAAATAATAAATTTTTAGAAAATTTTAGCTATAAATTTATAAATATATACTTAATAATTTTATTTTATTATTAAATAAAAAAAAATTTTAAATATAAAAAAAAATATATATTATTAATATTTTTATTTGAAACTTAATTTTATTATTAAAATAGAAATTATAATATATATTTTTATGTTAAAATAAAAAACTAAAAAAAAAATGAAAAATTTTTAAGAATCTTATAAAATAATAAGGTTGTGAGTCATTTATATCTATATAATAGAACATTTATAAAAATAAAAGAATATTATTAAAAAAATTAAATAAATAATACCAATAAAATAAATATTTAAAAATACTTAAAAAAAAAATATTAAATAACAATTATATTATCTTTTTGACATAAAAAAATGTAAAACTAAGATTATATAAATAATATATTATAAATATAAAAAAAATATAAAAATATAATTAATATATTATAAAAAAAAATATATATATTCAAATAAAATATAATATATATTATATATATAATATTTATATATTTATATATTTATATATTTATATATTTATATATATATATATAAATTATCTAATAATTATGTTTATATTTTTATATTAATATATAAATATTTTTATGTTTGTAAACATATTTTTTAAAATATTTTTATATATTTATATTTATATTTGCTAATTAAATAAAAATTATATTATAATTAATACTATATCAATAATTTAAAATATTAATTTAATATAATAATGAATGCAAAAATTTAAGTATAACATCTTAATTTATACTAAAATAAAAATTATATTCTTTCATTTTAAAATTGTTTTTTTTAAATATCATTTTTTTTTATTAACAAATAAAAATTTTACATTCAGATTAATTTTATTTTAAATAATCTTTAAGTACAATTAATTTATATAAAAGAAACTTATATGGTTTTTACAAAATCATTATTTTTAAAAATAACTGATAAGAATATATTAAATTATTAAAATAGAAATTATAATGTTTTGAATTTAAAATTTATCTTTTTATTTTTTTAAAGTAATAATGGTGTTGATATTTATAAAAATATTTGTAATTTTTTTTTTTGAAAAAAATATCTGTTTTTTATATTTATTTAGAAAAATATTCTATTTTAATTTTTGTTAATTTTATATTTATTAATTATATCAAAATATTGAATTTTTTAAATCAAAATTGGTTACTTTTTTATTTTTTTACTAAAATAATAAAAGTATTAAAAAAGGTTAATTTATATTAAAATATAGGAAGGTATAAAAATAAAATTTACATATTAACAAAATATTCAATAATAAAAAAAAAATAGATGTTATGGTAAATAAAAAATATAATTTTTTTTATATAATTAAATAATTTTTTATACTTATAAACTAAAATAAATCAATATATAAATAAATAAATAAAATTTTCATTAAAATAAATAGAAAAAAGAAAAAAACTCATATTTTTTTAAAAAATAAATAAAAGCAAAAATAAAAAATATAATATACTTATATAAATAAAAAGAGAAAAAGTAAAAAAAATCATAAATAATTAAATCAAAAAAATAAAATAAAATAAAATTAAAAAAAATGTCTGGAAAACAAAAAAAAGGTGGAGCCATTGATTTCGCAAAAGACTTCCTTTCCGGCGGTGTATCTGCTGCTATATCTAAAACAGTTGCCTCTCCCATTGAAGTGGTTAAAATGCGTATCTAGAACCAAGACGAGATGATAAAATAAGGAGTATTGGCCAAAAGATACAACGGAATAGTCGATTGTGCAACTACAGTAGCCAGAGATGAGGGTGTTAAAGGCTTATGGAAGGGTAATTTTACTAATGTATTAAGATATTTCCCTACTTAGGCTTTAAACTTTGCTTTTAAAGACACATTTAAGAAAATGTTTAACAAAAATAAAGAAAAAGACGGCTATTTAATCTGGTTTTGTGCTAATATGGCTTCTGGTGGTCTCGCCGGTTCCGTTTCTTTAACTTTCGTTTATTCTTTAGATTATGCTAGAACTAGATTAACTAATGACATGAAATCTTCCAAAAAAGGAGGTGAAAAAAAATACAATGGTCTCATTGATTGTTATAAAAAAACTATCGCTACAGACGGTATTGCTGGTCTATATAGAGGTTTTGTAATCTCATGTGTAGGTATTGTAGTCTATAGAGGTCTTTATTTCGGTCTTTATGATACCATTAAACCTCTTTTACCCGTATCTATGAAAAATTCTTTCGTTTCTTCCTTTGTATTGGGATGGGGTGTTACTGTTACTGCTGGTTTGGCCTCTTATCCTATTGATACCATTAGAAGAAGAATGATGATGACTTCTGGAGAAGCTGTTAAATATAATGGAAGTATTGATTGCGCTAGATAGATTCTTGTAAATGAAGGATTTAAGTCTATGTTTAAAGGTGCTGGAGCTAACATTCTTAGAGGTGTTGCAGGAGCTGGTGTACTTGCTTTTTATGATATAATTTAATAATTTATATATGGTGATGATTATGTACCAAGCTCTGGTGGTGGTTGAGAGTCTTTTTTTTTTAGACTTTTTTCCGTAAAGGGAAAGAAGAAATAATTATTAAAATACATATATATGAAATAATAAATCAGAAAAAAAAAATTTTTTTTTTTTTTTTTTTTTCGAGATTATGAAAATAAATTAGTATTTGAATATTTATTTTATATATGTATTTATTTTTATTTCTATTTTTATTTTATTTTAATTAAAAAATTTTCTCCTCTATCTTATATTTTTTTTAAAAAATAATAATAATAAATAATTATTATTTTAAAGTAAAAGAAATTGTAATTAAAATAAAATTTCAATATTAAAAAATAAAATAAAGAATAATTAAATTTTAATATAAAAAATATTATATTTTATACAATGATAATTTTTTTAGTATAATATGTAAAAATAACAATAAAATTTTATTTTCATAAAAAAATAAAACAAAATAATACTTAATTAATTAAACATATATATTTTATATATAAAATTAATCATTTTATATATCTTTCATAAGCATTAATCATATATTGATTTTTCATTGACCTAAAAATTTTTTAACCAAGTACATAATAAAGTTTACTATTAATAAAATTATCAATATGCGGTATAAAATGCTCTACTTTTTCTTATTCCATATCGTCAACATAAAACATACTATTATCGCAATTCCATACACAAACCCTGAAAACTTTACTTTCTTTCTTATACTAAATAGCTATCATTTACCTCGGTTTTAATGACAGAATTCCTCTATATAAAATAATATAGTTATTGCTTTTAATTTTCTGTGCATTTTTATTCACTTTAAGAACCGGAAGGCACATTTTATCCTATTTAATTCTTCTTAAAGACAATTTTTTTTTTAAATCAACTTATAAAGGTTAATTTTCCTAATTAAATTTCCTATAATTTTCTTTAATTTTATTTGCGTAAAAAAGTGCCATTTCTTAAAAATCCGCTAGAATAAATTCATATTAATAAGGATCATCTATATTTTGATTTTAACACAATCCTTTTAATTTATTTATTGCTTATTTAAAATAATTATACATCATATGCCTAATTTCAAGTTTTTCATTCTAAACCATATCTTTTCCGAGAAAAAACATCCTCAAATACAGTTAAAAGTCCCCACAATTCTCGATTTTTACCCTATCAAACCCTTTAAATAACTACTCGCTTTAATTTTCCTTATTTTCCATGTACATCTCGAATAAAATATTACTCTTCAAGTCTATATTTAATAAAACACTGTTTACAACTTCCCTTAAAATACCCCTATATGTATTCAAACATAATACTAGTTTATTTTATTTCGTTGATTTTATCTCTATTACGTTCAATAGATACTCCCAGATCCTAATTTCTAGAAAAGGAGTAGATTCTAAAAGACTTTAATTGAATAATTTGAGAAAAATATATGGTTTTTCCTCATATTTGTACACTTTCTTCTTCTTCTCTTCTCCCTTAAAATTCGGTATGTGTATTAGAGAAACAATTTAATTTGAATTAGCGGGTGATAGATTTATTTATTTACTTAAACTCCTTTAAATATTTATACTTTTGATAGTTTTTCGTTTATCATTAGATCTTATATTTTATATAGTTTCTCTAATTTATAAATTTTCCTCTAGTTCTTTTTTATATTTTTATATCATTTTTTGGATATCCAATATATCCTCATCAAATTATTTTTAAAAATTCGAGTAATTTTTTTCCTTTGTATTTAATAATTATTTCACTATATTTTTATTCTCCCAAATTTTACCAGGAAAAATACCTTCTTTAAAACTACTCGAAAAACCACTAATATCACTCTTTTTTATAAAACAAATGAATTTTCTTCCACTTTTTTATACATAAATCATCAATTAAAATTAGTCAAAATCTTAGTATTTATATCTTCTTACAGTAATTATTACGTATTCATTTTCCATTCTTTTTATGCCTTAATAAACTACTTTTACAGATCGCAAAACAGGCGTTAGCATAGTATTTGGATGTAAAAAACTTATCTATTAATCAGTATTCATTGCATTAAAATCAAAACTATTCAGTAAATCATAATCATTAGATTACTTTATAGTAAATATATAAAAATTATAATATATAAATATTTTTATAAAATTATATACAAATGTATATAGAAATATATAAATTAAAAAATATATAAATATATTTATTAGATAATTTATATATAATAATATATATATATATATATTATATAAAAATTATATTTATTTATTACTGGAATTTTAAAAGCAGTATAATTTGAAGTATTAAAATAAACAATTTTACTTGCTAAAATCTTTATAACTTTATATATATCAGAATGGTCTAAACATTTATCAACACTAAAATCTTAAGAAATAAATGTTTATATATCACATAAATCTAATATCATTTTAAATAATTTAGTTCTAACATTAGCTGGTGTAATATCAATTCTAATAAATACGTAATTAGAATTTGTATAAATAGAATTACTTTTATAAACAGTAGTCTATATTAGTGCTTGACCTAAATTTTTAATTTTTTGAAATTATTAGACTCTCGTAGAATGAAAATAGGCTGTAAAAAAATAATTCTATTCCCCATCTTTACAATTTTAATCATTTGATATTAAAGCGAGTTTAATTTTAAATAAAAAAATCGAAAACTACTTTAAATTTGTCTCTAAGTAATTTTTTGCAGTCATCATTTTATATAAAGCTTAGTCTTGTAAATTATAAATTCGGTTGAGTTTAAATTTAAAAAAAGCCTCATTTTTTTCTATATAAGATTTAAATTCTAATTTTCTACCAATTAATTTTTTATTTTGTTTCAAAGACATCAACAAATATATATGCTTAAGTTATTAATTCTATATAAAACGTCCTTTTATCTATAAAATATTCACTAGTTTTTCCAAATTCTATTACTCCTTTACCACTACTTATTATATTTTATAACTTAGAGGATCATTAAAATAAATTTTAGCCTAAAGTTCTTTATTTTAAGTATAAAAATTACATTTAATTTATTTTTTAAATCCATCTTTATTTGATTTAATATTAAAAATTATCCATTTATCTTTTAGCGTTGAAAAATAAGAATTATAATGATCCATAAAAGTATTATCTTAAGGGGAAATACGATTTTATATCTAGATACTATTTCCAAAATATTTATTTTAAAAAAAATCCAAATTTAAAATCTAAGGTCTTTCTTATGTTTTTTATAAATGTTCATGTATATCTTATTATAAAATTTTATAATGTTTAATTGTGCAATTTTTAAATTTTTAAGCTACTCTCTATATAGTAGTTTTTAAAATTTATTAAATTTCTTCTATAGTTTAATTATTTTTTATATAAGAAAGTTTTTTTAAATAAACTTAAAATTTCCTTTATTTAAATAAATTTAATTAAATCTGACGACTTTTAAATATTATTTCATGTAATTCTTTAAATTTCTCGATTTTCTATATCATTCTTTCGTCTATTTTTATATCTCGTTTATATTCGATTTCTTCTGAATTCAAATCTTTCTTTAAATTAACATTTTCATTTAAATTAAATTTTTCATCTAATTTAACGTTTTAATCTTCTTATATTATATTTTAATATTCTTCTTCTTATATATTTTAATCTGTAATACTATCTTCTTTTTATATTTTTCTTTGTTTTTTTGTTATTTTTCCATCTTTTATTTCATAATTTTCCTTTATCTTTTATTATATTATGTGTAATTATTTTTTCGAAAATCCTTAATTATACAAAAATTTCGCTATTTTAAAAACACAATTAATTAATTTTTCGGGTTAAGAAATTATTTTATAAGGTTCACAAAAAGATAACTTTTCGAAAATCTCTATATTTGTAATATTTTTTGGGTTAAAAATCTCACTTATATCATTATTTTTTTCAAAAATCTCATTTATAAAATCAAAAAAAGAAAAATTTAATTAAAATTGACTTTATTTATTTTATAAATTAAAAAACTATATTTAAATTTTAAAGTTGTTTCTCATACTTTCAATATTTAATTCCTCATTTTTATTAAAACTTAATATTATTTAAAACATATGTATTTTCTTTTATAATCCATCAATAAAAGTATTACTTACAAAAAGGAAATTTCTAACATGAAAAAATAAAAAAATTAAATATAAATAATAATATATATATATATATATAATACTCAGAATTAATAAATGGATTAATAAAAATTTCAGGAATTTATTAATAAACTTAAGATTTATTTTCATCAAAATACTTAATATTCTTCAATTATTTTTAAAAATAATACTTTAGTTGTTTTTACAATAATTCCTAATGCATAACTTTTAACTAAAACCTAATTTAGTCTCTTTCTTCATAGTTTTCCTCTTTATCAATCATTGCTTAAATCTGAATACTTTACCCATCTTCCTAATCTGAATTTAATTAAGACTAACCTCTCTATATACTATTATTTTTTACCTACGATTAATTCTAAAAGGATGGTTAATAAGACTATACAGAATCATCATCTTACTAAATGAAATTATTTTGTTAAATAATTCTAGTATTTTTATGATTAATTTTGGATTTAAAATCACCTTATTTATTAGCATTATCATCCGAAATAGAATTTTTATGTTAGAGGTTTTCCTATTTAGTATTTGCTATTTAGTTATTATCTAGACTATTTTTATGAGAGAGTAATAAAGAGTTTGTATTTTTTTAGATTTTGAGGCTATTTATATCTGATAATTATTCATTAATATTTTTTTTTTAAGACTCTTTTTTTTCCGAAAAAGAAGATGATGAAGACGAGAAAATACAGCTTGAAATTTCCTTTATTTAAATTTTTTGTAGTATTTCTTTATTTCCTTGATTTTTTATGCTAAATAAATCTCCCTCTTAAGCATTTAAAAAATCATTTTTTTAAAGGAGAATTTTCGAAGGAGAATTTATAGATTAAGAATCTTAATTTTATAGAATAAAATTCTTAAAAGTCTGTCCTTTTTCAGTATAAGAAGGAGTCTAAATTTAATTTCCAATATTTATCTATGAATAAAGTTAATTTTTTTATATTTTATTATCAATTTAATCAAATTAATCAAAAAAAAATTTTTCTAGATTTTTATAGGACTTTAATTATCATCTAATTATTAATATTATTATTATAAACGATTATTAATATTATAAAATATAGATTATTTAGTTTTGAAAGATTAAGCATTTTTTTAAATATTTTATTATTAA